CGCACTTTGTAGGAGGGAAGGCAGCCAAGGTAGGGCACAGACAGCTCACTCTTGGTCCTCAGTGACCCTGCGTGTGCCCACTCTGCTCCTCGCAGCGTATCTGGCACACCCTGTGCTGGTCCCAGCATGACTGTTGAACTTGGCTGATCACATGGACTTCTCTGACCAAAGCAAGGGAGGAAGAGAAGCGGCAGGTGCCACCAGCAGGGCTGCCGCTCCCTCAGCCCAATGACCAGGTGGGGTCCTCAAAGACCAAACACCTCTCTCTGTCTCTCTTCCTTGCTCCCTCCCCTTCCCCCCACCCTCCCTCTCCCTCCTTATTTCCCTCTCTCTCTCCCTCTCTTCTATGAATGGAACCCAGGCCTTGCACATAGTAGGCAAGCATTCTACCGCTGAACTACACTCGATCTTTCTTCATTTTGAGACGGAATCTTGCTCTGTAGCCCAGGGAGACTTTGATCCATCTTCCTGCCTCAGCCTCTCATCCCCCAAATGTCCAGCCCCAACTTTACTTTGAATGAATTGCTGGTTTGGGGCAAGTTGCCCTGTCTCTCTAGATCAAGGATATGTCTGAAGAACTCCACTCTTTCAGTACTGGCTGTGGGTATTGGCTGAACCCGTGTGAAATGAGGAAAGCCAGGCAGGGCTCTTGTTCAGTGTTGTCACCCACCTCCTCATTCAGACATACCATCAGGTCCCTCACCCTTCCCTTCTTTCAGTTATTCAACAACTGTTGATCCAACATCTGCCTTGTGAATGACATGAGCTGGCTGCTGGGGGAGGGGCAAGCTGGTCAGAACAAGGAGGAAGGATCCGGGGGAGGAAGGGAAGATGAACGCATAGCCAGGCCTCCTTCCTCTGCAGGGGGAGTTGGAACGTATGGATTCCTTTCATTAATAATGAATTAATAAGTAAGCTGCTTGGAAACCTCAGATGGTGGCTATAAATGAATTTAAAATTGGGCACATAGTTATTAAAAATACTGAAGACAGCCGGGCGTGGTGGTGCACGCCTTTAGTCCCAGCACTCAGGAGGCAGAGGCAGGCGGATCTGTGTGAGTTCAAGGCCAGCCTGGTCTACATAGTGAGTTCCAGGACAGCTGGGGCTGCAGGGAGACCCTGTCTCAAAAAGAGAAAAAAAAATAAAAATACTGAAGACAAGTGCAAGCAAATCACAGCTCACAGAGGACAGAAAGGAGGGCCTGGTGTGGACTCCCTACTGGGCTCCCTCAGGCGTCCCAGAAGCCACTGGGTGTTGGTTATGAAACTAACACTTCAAACAAAGTGGCCAAAGGTCGGATTTTAAAGGAGGCTGTGGATTCATCAGGCTGTGGAAACAGCAGCAGCATCCTGAGGTGGAAGGCAGAGTCCAGGCAGAAGCACGGAGGACAAAGCTCTGGTCTCAGGACAGCCACAACTGCGAGCATCCAGACGGGTGTGCCTCAGCCTTGACAGCCCAGAGCGCGACCCTGGTAAAGTGCGAGGGACCACAACAAAGGAAATTTACCTGCGAAATTTCAGTAAGCCAAAAAATATACACAAGGATATACTACTCTCAAGTATTTATATTTGTAAATAGATGCATAGCACATTCTATATAAAATTGTAAACTAGATAGATAAGTCTGTATCCTGTAAATAGTGGCTACAAATATTAAAAATAAAGTAGGGGCTGGCAAGATGGCTCAGCAGTAAAGATCCTTGCTGCTAAGCCCAACGACCTGAGCTCAGTCCTGGGATATTCACAGTAGAAGGAGAGAACTGACTCAAAAGTTGTCCTCTGTCCTCCACACATGCTCTGTGGCACACATGTATACCATAAGCACACCAAATTTAAAATAAATGTAATTTTTAAAAATTACAAGTAGTATTACACCAAGAAGACCATAAAGAACAGCTCGAAATTTCTAAAAAGTACAAGTCAAATGCTTCACTAAAATGCCACAGCACAGAAATTTGATAGAAGGGTGCACACGTGCTCAGCGCAGGCATTTACAGGAAAAGTTAGGGAGGATCTGTCATGAAGACAGCAACACTAAAACTACACTCAGACACAATGTAAACAAAACCTTCAACTCAAAAAGTTGAGTTAAAGACAGTAAATCTAAGCTGGGGCTGGTGGAGCATGCTTTTAATCCCAGTTCTCAGGAGGTAGAAGCAGGCAGATCTCTGTGAGATGGAGGCCAGCATGGTCTACAAAGGAGTTCCAGACCAGCTACGGCTACAGGAAGACCCTGTCTCAAAAACAAAAACAGTAAGTCTAAAGATAACAGAAAGAAGAAAATCTAAGAAACAGTTTGTCGAAATTATGCTAAGTAGTTGAAAAAAACTTGAATTTAAAACATAAATGGTGGGCCTGGAGAGATGGCTCAGAGGTTAAGAGCACTGGCTGTCCTTGGCAGAGGACCTGGGTTCAATTCCAAGCACCCACATGGTGGCTAACAACCATCTATAACTCCAGTTCCAGGGGATCTGACACCCTCTTCTGACCTCCATGGACTTTGCACAACATGGGTGCACTTACACACATGCAGGCAATATACTCGTATACATCAAAATAAAAGTAATAAAATACTTTTTTTAATCAACAGTATTTTCTGCACATACAAAGGAATCCTTTCTTCATTCTGATAGGACAGCACAGCACATGGGCACTCAATTAACAACTTGGAAATCTCTATAAGCATTAGCTTTCTTGGAAGACACAAACACCCCCAAAGTCTTGGAAGACAATGAAAATTCTGAAACTTAAATGCAAAGATCATTTAAAAATATTTAAGAGGATAGATCATTTCAATGACAAAGCTTCTCAGTGACTTTGAAGAAAAAATGAGAAATTTGTAATTGATAGATGACTGTGATGCAGAGTGGGATGCAGGATGCACGGGGCAGGAAAAGGAATCAGAGCTGGGAGAAGGGACCATGGAGCTGGGAACAGGGAGTTGAGAACAGGGAACAGGCTGTGTGCTATTGTCTTGTCTGGGCTATAGTGACTCCGTGGAGCCCCACAGGCCCACAGCAGACTCTAATGGGAATCCCCTATGGGGAGGAGCTCTTGGAACCCAGAGGGAACAGGGAGAGAGCTGTGATCTTATGATGGAACTATAGCAGAGTCTGTGCCTTGGGGGTGGGACCAGAAGATAGACAGCAGCCCAGTGGTCAGACCCAAGAAATGATAAGGCCAGGGTACCTGTTGGATACATAGACCAAGAATCCAAGTCTCCTGGGCAGAGGGTGGCCAAGAGTCTAGAGAATATCTGTCTGGCTCCTCCCAGAGGCCCCTGTCCTTAGACATGGATGACTGCTCTTAGCCACAAAGAAAGAATGGAAAACCCAGGAGGGCTGAGGGCTCCTGTTTCTCTTAAAAGTCTATACCAGACCATCCCTGAGACAGCTCACAAAGCACCCCTCAAGACAGAGAAGTAAAGTCACTGGCTTTCCCAAGCTGAAGGGAAAAAGGGGGAAACACAAGGCTAGTTAAGGAGGTTGGAGCTTTTGCAGAACCCAAGCACAGGACCTGCACTCAGGGCACCTGATCACTGTGTACGTGTTTCATCTCCGAATCTCACAAGGAAAATAAAAGCAAACTACTGTTTTTTCATAATAGGACCTTAAAGGCAAACAGCTCCACTGTCTTGGGCAGAAGACCCAGGAGTCTCTGGGGTGTCACGGGCCGTGACTTAGGTGGCTCCTAGGTGGCCGAACCTCCCACCATCAGCAGTCACTTTCTCTTCCATCTCCCAAACTCCTCAAGGCTGCTCCTGGTCAGGATTTCCAGACCCTCTATTCCCTGGGTTGTGTGCCCTTCCCAGGCCTCCCAACCACCTTGTGCTCACTAGAGCTACAGAATATTTGGAACAATCACCATGGTCACCAGGTATAACTTAAAGAGCAACAGGTGGGGTCTGAATATCTCCACCTGCAAAGGAAAGTCAGGGTGGCTCAGGATGAAACACTTGTGCAAGGTTTTGTGTTATCTCACGTTCTCTAGGAACACCTTCCATATACAACAGACTGACTGGAGCTGTCTTCTGGACTCGAGGCAGATGGTTCAGGCACACTGTGCATAGACACTCTGTCCTGCCTGGGGCACTGTGTGTGAACAGCTGCCTACTCGTCATCTGTTCTTGCTCCCTTGGTCCTACTAGACTTTAAATGGTACTTCGTGGTGACATGGGTTCCTGGCCCATTAGATGTACATGGATGTGAAGACAGATACTGCTATTTCTTTATTACTCGGATTTTTCTGCCTGGAGACTGCAGTTCTAGAATATTCTCTTTCTCGGGAAGAAAATGGATTTGGCAAACTAAACCGTTGGGAGGAATCGCATCCACGCTCTAATAACTGAAAATCTAACACACCTTTCCAGACTCTTTCTTACAATGACTTTTCTTCTGGGCAATTTCAACTTCCCTTTCCGTTTTCTGGCCTACGGGAAGTGGGAGGCCTCGTTGTCACCTCATAATTGGCAGAATGCGCTAATGGAGGGCAATGTTTGCTTGGTATGAGCTGCTGGGCTTTCATGGTGTAGCTGTGCTCTTTATACTATAGTGAGCATAATTCCCTAATGAGATGCCAGAGTTCTGGACCTCTCTGTGTTACAGCAAAGCTCTGAAGGTAAAGGGCTTTTCTGAGGGTGTCATAGACAAGAGAGGAAGGACCCATGGCATTCCTCTCAGGCCCAGTGTACCACATTGTGGGATTACTCTACTGCATCTTTCCCAGGGACTAGGGTACAGCAGAGGGAGCACCCTCTTCCCCATGGACTTTTCAACACCCTGCAGCATCTGCATCAAAAAGATGGTGGCTAAGAGATTCGTTGGTGTCCCCTTCTTTACCCCAAAAAGAGTCTGCTGAATGAGGGTCCTTGGACAGGACTCCTTTATTAAACTTCACCCACCCAAGGCTCAGGGACCATCATGGAAGGAGGGGCAGAAAGATTGCAAGAGCCAGGGAGGAGGTGCTGGGGAGCAAAGAGAAGCAAGTCATGCCCACACATACCTGGCTGGGCTGGAAGCTTCTGGATGCCATGGGTAGGTCTTGGGGAGGTTTGCAAGCTCCTGAGCCATCACGTGCTGGGTATAGTCATCCTGCCATGTAAAACCTGGGGGAGAAGGAGCAAAACCTGAGGCGTGGATTCCAAATGAACCCCTCACACTCACAGACGCTTCCCTCACATTGGTGATACTTTTAGACCCAAATGACAATCAGCACTTTGGTCCATTGTTTTAAAAATGGGCACAGTGGGTGCTGGCTATAGCCAGGAGGCAGAGAAAGCCCAAACCAAATGTGACCTCAGTCCAATGCAGATGATGGAAACTTGTTTACCTGGGAAGGTTCAACTACAGCAAAGACTGGACCCATCAGCAACGTCCATGTACTGGCCCAGCATACCTGCCATACTGCCTGCTCACTGCCTCATCTGAGCAACTGTTCTCTCTAGTCCATCCTACCTGAGAGCCCAGCATTTGGCTGTACAGGGGTACGTTCTTGAGAAGCAATTACGATGAGCTTAATGTACTGTATCTCAGACCCAATTACATTATATTTACACCCAAATGTTGTGACAAAGAGCTTTATAACAAGGACAAAGCAGTTATGAAGGCAGAATCCACGTGATTGCACATTAATTACATGCACTGTGGATCACATGATAATTATGCTTGGAATTACCAAATAGCTCCTAAGAATAATTATTATGCAATTTGTACGTTTTAGATCTTATGGTAACACTTTCGTGCTTAGAGCTACCCCATGCAATTATCCATAATTATCTAATCACTAAGTATCACATAATTACAGAGGTATATTTTTATGCCCTGTACAAAAATATGTTATAAAACCTTCCAATCAGGACAGCTTTATGTGTGTGGTGGGGGGGATGTGTGTACATGTGAGTATGTTCATGTGTGTAAGCTCATGCATGTGTGTACATGGTAGGCATGTGTGTACTTGTGTGTGTGTGAAAGAAATCCAGATCACACATTGTGGATAGAATTAGAAGACATGCTCAGTAGATATAAAAGGTTTTCATGGACACACTCAAATATTTTTTTTCAAATGCAAAAGTGAACTGTTAAAAGTTACAGATGGCAGGGATCGAACGGCTGGCACATTCACATTCCTCAGCCCCAGGAGGCCCAGTGGTGAAATTAACGGGATGACTCTGGCCTGGGCCCCAGCTCCTTCAGAGGAGCCCCAGCTTCTGGAGAGGCGCTCTCTATGGAAGGTAACTCACTGAAGGGAGAACTGCCCATCACTCAGCCAGGCACTTGGTAATGAAGGTAACAGAAAAGCAAGCCGTCTGAGAGGTGCTTCCAAGTCCTCCAAGTCCAGTCTGAGGAGTGTTCTCAGTAGAAAACAGCTTTGCAATGTTAACACAATAGCTAGATTTCTGGGTTTAGAAAACAAGCATACCTTAAGCATGTCATTCCCTAAGAAGGGTCTCACTATTAATATTTAAGAGGCAACAGATAATTGAGAGCATAAAGGAACTTTCCATGAAAAAACTTTCATTAAAACGTGGCATTTTCCAGACTGGAGAGGTAGCTCATTTGGTAAAGTGCTTGCCTTGCAAACACGAGAACTTGAGTTTGAGCCCCAAAATCCACATTTAAAAAAAAGAGAAAATGGGCCAGGCATGGTGGTGCACACCTTTAATCCCAGCACTCAGGAGGCAGAGGCAGGCGGATCTCTATGAGTTCAAGGCCAGCCTGGCCTACATAGTGAGTTCCAGGACAGCTGGGGCTACAGGGAGACCCTGTCTCAAAAAGACCAAAATAGAGAAAGGAGGCATAAGTCCCAGGTCAGTGAGAGACTCTGTCTCAATAAACAACGTTGATTGCGCCTGCGGAAGAGTACTCAAGGTTTTCCTCTGGCTTCCAGTGTGTGCGCATACACACACACACACACACACACACACACACACATACACACCATTCTCTATCTAAAGAGAACATTGCCTAAGTACTGTACATGCTGAGCACTGTAATGAGGGCCTTTAGGACCATAGTTGGCCGGTGTAGACATCTACACAGGCATTCTGGAGAAGATCTGGACCCCAGCCAAGGCTGCTAACCTTTCATAGGAGCGAGAAGTGTGCTCTTGGGTTAAAAAGAAAATACACTGATCATCCTTATGAACTTCTGTGAAGGTGGGGAGATGGCCCGCCTGCAGGAAGATGGAGAGACAATCCCATCTGTAGGAAGGTGGGGAGACTCACTTTCTCCTGTTCATCCACTAATTGTGTCTAGCAATCTTGGATGTGGATGGTCAAAGGTAGAGGGAGGCAGGAGACTAAAGAACAAGACTGCAATGAGGCACGAGGCCCTTTGCTCTAAATGCTCAGACATAGATCTAAAGAAGCCAAACCAGAAATGCCCTGAATGGAGACACAATATCCAGTGACAACTGCCTCTCTTGGTGCAAGGCCAGGAAAGGGCATCTCAGCAAGATTAGAGAGTGTGAAACAATGACGGGCACCCCAGGAAAACACAGCATCTCACCCTACCAGCCAGCCTGGGAGTCCCACAGCTCCTCTCTCCTGAGCCACAATGAACTCCTCCACCTCACACTCAGCACTGAAGAAGGCTGAGTCGGGGAGTCACATCTTGCAGTGACCCATGATACAGGGAAGACCACCTGGGGGCTGTAACCCCAGCCCTCTGCACTCTCAGGTGTGAACAGATAGTAAGGGCCTGAACCTCCTCCCTCTACCTTTAGGAAAAAGGAGCATCACACTCTACCCTGCAAAGCAGTACCAGAAACAGCTGGGCAGAGCACAAGGTGTAAATGGGCTCCAGGGTCATGAAAAAGTAGATTCCAGTAGAGATCAGTGGTTCCACCAAGACCCAGGAAGATTTCAAGCCAAATGAAAGCAGAGCGGAGCCGCCCAGCCCTGGGAGGACACACAGGACAGCTGGACAAAGGCTTGGAGCAACCGTGACAAAAATGCTTCGGTGCTCAGTTGTGAACTCACTAGAGACAAAAGGGAAAATGGAAAGTCTCTGCAAATCCTGGGGTGATATAAAGAGAACCAAATAGAATTAGCATTATTGAAGAATCCAGCAAGCAGACCGCAGTTCCGTGGACATACTTTGACCTGAGGGGAAAGAAGAGTCAGTGAACTGCGAGACTAGGCAGTAGAACAACACGGATAAAACAGTGCCCTGGAGTCTCTGGGGCCATCACCAAAGGTCTACCATCCATTCTACAAGAGACTCAAGGAGAGAAGCAAGACGACAGGATGAAAAGCCATTCACAAAAGCAAGGGCTGAAAGTGTCTCCATGTGGGCAGCACAGACCTAAAAAGTGAAGAAGCTGGGGACATCCCAAACACGGCAGATCTGCACATCTTCCAAGACACGTGATCATGAAATTTCTGAAAGCCTATATGGAAAAAGTCTTGACAGTGCCCCAAATTATCCCTTACCTACGTGGGAAATACGATTTAAGTGACAGGATTCATCATCAGAATCCAGAGAAGCCAAAGGAAGCAGCATGTTTTCAGGTGCTGAAAGAAACGAACCATCTCTCTGGCATCCAGGAAAGTAGCCAGGGAAAATCCTCAGGACTGAAAGAAAAATGAGCTTTTCACCGGAAGACCTATTTCAAAAGACCCACTAAGAACAGCTCTGAAAGGAAGTGACCGAAGAAGGGAACAGCATCAGGAAAGGACGGAACGCACGCAGCTCACGTGGCAAACACTACTTCTGTGCCCATGTTTGAGAGTGAAGTTACATATCTTAACACCCACATCTTCCTGAGGACGAGCAGAAGAAATACTTATCAATTGTGTCATCCATGAGCAGGAGAGTCAGGTATCATAAATAGGAGCAAATCAAGATGGTAACAAGGTGTGATACACCATATACAAGCAACAATAATGGAGCAGCCACAGAAAAGGGTCTTCAAAAGCATAAATGCATTCCCAAATATGCCAAAGCAACCCAAGGAAAGCAGAGTAAAACAGACAAATAAAACGCAGAAAACAAGCTGGGGTCTAGCTTAGTAACAGGGCACTTACTTAGCATGTATGTAAGGCTCTTGGGTTTGACAGCAGCATTGCAAGAATAAGTAGCAGGAGGAAGAGGAAGGGAGGAGGGAAAGGAGGAAGGGAGGAGGGAAAGGAGGAAGGGAGAGACGTTTATGCTTACTGTGTCAGTAATAATATTAAATATCAATGCTCTAAAATACGCCAATGAAAAATATTTAAATGCTCAACTACATGTTCACGGCGTAAAACATCAAATATGATGAGATAGAACACTGAGAAGAAGCACGTGGATAAGATACATCATTCAAGCCTTGAAGGCACCAGCCAGCTGTATTAGCATCAGGTACATGAATCTTAAGAAGTGAGATTCAGAGTGACAGAGACACAGCAGTCCTACATATCTATGTGCCAAACAACATAACAACAAAATATGTGCGGCAGACACAGCACTAAAAGAGAAAGACACAGATCGGCCATCACAGTGGGACCTTTCAACATCACTAAACAGAAAACCAGCAAATATGAAGAACTCAACAGTGCCATCCATCAGCGGGCTCTAATGAACGCTTGATGGTCACTCTACTCCAAGGACAGGATGCACACCCTTTGCAATCGCTTAGGAACACATACCACACCAGACCATATCCTGAGCCATGGAAAAAAACTTAGCAAAAGCCAGTAAACTAGAATCATTCACTGTGCGCTCTATCACAGTGGAGGTAAACTAGACATCAGTAACAGAAAGATACGGGGGACCTCTCTAAACACTTGGCTATTACACATGTGCATCAGTAATCCATAGATCAATGCCAGTCTGAAGGAGAAAAAGCATTGACATTTGTGTCACGCAGATAAATCAGTACAACAAGTGAAAATCACAGCACTAAATGTTTACATTAGGGAAGAAAACAGTCTCCAAGCAGCAACCTAAATTGCATATTAAGAACTGACACAAAGAACAGTAAAATATACCCAAAGCAACAATAAAGAGATGAAGTTAAAGAATTCTGTTAGATAAGAATTGAAAAAAATCTGTAGCAATAAGAATGAGCTCTTTAGGAGCTGGAGAGATGACTCAGTGGTTAAGAGCACTGGATGCTCTTGCAGAGGACC